TGTTATATAACTCTCCCAAATTTGGTTGTTCAGTAAGTTCCATGAGGTTGGATGCTGGAGACATGAGTAACCATTGAAAAGACCAAAGATGAGTTCTTGTATCTAAATTATTTTATTATTTGTATGGTAGCACTTTACTTGAGGTGGTCACTTAGTAACTCAGTCACTAGTCAAGTACAAATCATGAACAAACAGAATAACTGCATGAAATACATTAACCGTTATGCTGAATTCATGATGGATGAACATGGGATCAGTATATAACTTACACTTAATTTCTGGTCAATTAATGCATTAAGTAAGAGTGTACTACTACATTATTCGTAACCATTTGAATTGTGTAACTCTTCTTGGCCCCACAACCCTGAATAATGGTTACAGAAAATGGATGGCTTGTTGAATGGATGGTTGAATGGATGGATGTAACTCTTCTTGGAATTTTCAGATGATCAAATTCATAAGGAAATTCTATGGTGATATGTTATGTACCTAACCAACCATATCTGGCTGTCCTCTTCAATGTTTCTCATACAAACGTTTCATGTTGGCCCCCCGCAATGAGTGCTCACACATTGTGACATCACTATGCCTTCCTCTTCCTAAGGGACTGGCCATATGGCTGGAAACCAGAGAGCTGCACCCTCAAACTGCAGACGGAGCTCCTCCATGACTGGGCAGCCTCCTTACACCTAACCCTGCCCCATTGTCCCCTCGCTTTCATTTATAGGTGTAGACGTTGCGTCTTTCATGGAGTAATTGGGTTGAATATCTATGGTCTGGAGAGTCACTTGACTTTGCTGCTGGCATCTGCCTATTCTGACTGTGTAGAAAAATACACATGGTTTAATAGGGGAGCTTTTTGCTGAAAGAATCAGTACCACTCACACCCTGGCGGCCGTCTGTGTATTTATGTACAAACTACATAGCTGTGCTGTGAGTGTAACTTTTCACTGGTCATTTAGATACATTTGTTACACAGTAACCAAAGTCTATGCAATCAATATTTACTTCACACATGTTTCGTCAAAGAGACCAACAAAGTCATGGCCACTCGGGTAGTGCAGCAGTCTGATGTTTTCAGGCATCATTTGTTGTACTGGATCACTTTTATAACTGCCACCCCATACTGGAGGTCTGAGAACAACTGGAAGATAATGTCTTTGTTCTTCATCTGAGCATATGATTTCAGGTGGAGTGTATGTTCATCCTTACTCTGAGCTACTTGCTCCACCCCTTTGTTGACCACTAGTTCATGATAGTCAGATCACAGTTGAGATTACTCAAAATGTGAAGTCGGCTGTTTATATACCCCCAAGTTTTACCGTTTATGAATAATATATCACTGCCCACCTTTGTGAGGAATGTTTTGTTTGATTAGGCTAATTTTATTATTTCATGACAATTAGAGGACCTCCATCTGGTGTGCCCAACTGCTTGATTGGGATAACATGGAAGAGGTATGGATTTATTTGATGCAATCACACCAGTTATGATCCGATGCTGAGCAAAGGCTGGTCACTGTTATCTATGGAAGGAACTTGCTGCAGGACCCAGAATGTTTGCAGAATGAGATCTTTCACAGTCTGAGACGCTCGTGCTTTATCACACATTGGTGATGCAACTCAACCTACTCTCATTGTACGGTGCTTGATTTATAGTTGGCAAATTCATTCTCCTTTCCTCTGTTGCTAGAGATGTTACTGCTTGTGCTTTGCAGCATTGTAGGCTGTTGTAGAGATAGACAAATACAAAAAAGCCAGCCAGATTCTGATGGCTGTTTTTTTTTTTACGTGCAGATGGTTGTAATTTGACCCTCTCTTAAACTAGAAGTGCCAACAGATTTGGAGAAGCAGTTTGAAATTCCCAGCTATAAATTCCATAGGTTTTAGATGGGGTGCACATTTGAGAAGACTTTGTGGAGACTGAATTGCTCAGAATGATGTTGCTCTTCCAGAAGATCTTGATCTCCACAGAAGACAGCAGATAATGCCCCTAGCCAATGTGTTCACTGATACAGAATTTTATACAGCACCTCAGTCCTGTTGTTTTTTGCTGCAGTGTTTTTTTGAAAGGAGGTCTTTACTATTCTCTGGTTGTTCCTCACACACATTCTCTCTCTATCCCTCTCTCTCTCTCTCTCTCTCTCTCTCTCTCTCCCTCTGCATGAGTGACTTGATGGAAGAAGCTTGTGGAATATAGTCATCAAAACGCTTTTCTGAGTTTGTTCAGGAAAAGTAATGCGTTCATTTTTCCAACAGAGAAACACACTGAAATCTCGGATGCCACCATTGTCCACTCCTATGTCTCGACGATCATTTGTGCTATTTTTTCATTCCACACCAATTCTCTCCTGGCCTCTTCTCTCGTACCTCCAGTAAGCCCTACCACTATTCATAGTTTTTGATGTGGGTGCCTGTACATGCTTGACCCCACACCTTAAATTGCAAATGTCCACCTGGTGTTGACTTGGTTCTTGTGCACTTCTGTTTTAGTTCCCATGGAAGGCCATGTAACACGTTGTACACCATCACAATAGCAAACAATAGGAGAAGTCCCTCCAAGTCGCTGCCCTCAGTTTGACCTGGAAATGTTGACCACTACAATGCAGGCAAGAAGCCAGGATACCATAATGATTTGATTTAGTTTTATATGTCTTTCAGGACGGCAGCACACAGGCAAGGGAGCTGAGAAACACCCTTATATCTGCTATAAGTGACATGACATGTCACTCGTAATGAAAGGGTGGAAGAAGATCAGAAGTTAGTTGATGTTTGGGTAGGTACCAAAATTTAGAGGGGGGAGGCGGACTATACGTCTGTGTGGCTCTGCTAATATTATGAATATGCACTTGCAGGTCTAGCGTGCTAAATGGACCCAAATTCAAAGCTACCACTCTTGTAGCTTGAATGAGTATGCAAGTGTATGAGTCAGGAATGAGTCAGAAGGCTGTGTGTGTATGGGGTTGGGGGGGGGGGGTGGACATGTCAGCCATTCCGTCTGCATAGCTTGTACTCTATGGAAAATCAGCTAACCAGTTCCGATGGGAACCATACTCTGCTAGGTGCTGTGAACAGGCCAACATTGTCAGCCACTCTCCATGAAAACCTTCAATCCATCATTTCTTATTGTCCATCTTGCAGAAATGGCAAGTGTTGCTCCATAAGGAAGCGGCACCTACTTATTTATTCATCCACAGACAGAAAGACAGCATATGACTGGATTTACAGGGCAGACAATGATTGTATTATGAGAGATAGAAATGCTGCAATCTTAAAGGTCTAGGAGTCCTGCCCACAGAAAGAAAAGGGATAAATGATTTTGTAAACCAGTTATTCCAGAGATTAAACTGAATCCGTAAGAATTTCATGTACACAATTACATACACAAGGTACATAAGGAAGAATAATGATTTATTTAATGCAATGTATCTATTTGTTCTATATCACATAATGCTCAGAGGAAAGCATGGCTAAGAGTATGCTCATCATTGCTCCTTTGTGTCTTTACTCTGTGTAACTTTCCCTAAAACGAATTCTGGCCTACGTGATCATACTTAGCTCCGCCCACAAATCTCCCGGAGAACACTCACACCTCCACAGGACAAGCTACTGTTTCCCTTGTACACAGTTGAAATTGTAATACTTAAGCTCGTGAACATTTCATATCCCGGCAAGGGATCGGCTGTTACTCCTGGGTCTGCTGGGCTGTGCAGCGATCGGCAACAACATTAACTTACTCTATACACACTGGTTGTATAAAAGTGACAGATGCAACAAAACAGATGAAGTCAGATCCAACAGTTAAACTGGCAAAGGTGATCAATTAAGCAATCAGCACAAGGGACACATAAAGGAAAATCATGAAGATTTGTGTTTGTTTAACATTAGCTCAGCTCACTCCCTGTTTTCAAAGTACTTTTCTGCAGACCGCTTAAGAATCGAGGCTTCTTCGTTCTGCTGAAATATCATAGCTCCAAAAACTCTGAGGCAAGGTGCAGATGCAAACTCAACGCAGAAAATACAAAGACGGCCTCCTTTTGCACGAAGGTCAAACGAGTAGAGCAGTTTACAACAGGCCTACTGCAATTCACCATTTCAACAGTCAAATGATGGCATGAAGGGCATTGTAGTTCATAAATGCCTTTCTGTATTAGCATAAACGAATGTCCGGATCACGCGTCATCTGCTAAAATTACTTTACTTCCAGACTAAATGTTGATGTCGAGGCATATCCTCATCCTCGGACTTTGATTGTGCAGTTTCCGGAGATTTGTTAGCTTAAATATTTAAGATTACAATTCCCCCTGCTTGTACATCTGGATATTTTCTGAAGCCATTCAGCAAAGCGGTTTGATCAGAGATTCACCAGAAGGCCTGTCTTGGCACAATCCCTTTGGTCTAGATTCCTTAATCATTGTATTACCTGGTTCTAGTCTAGAGATATAACTTGGTTTTAACATTTTTTTTTTATTATCCCCAGAAATTTGAGTTAAAATGAGATGAGGGAAGACTTGGCCAGTTTTCTCAGTTAATAAACTTTTACAGGAAATCAAACATAGCACCATATAATATAATTAAGGGTGCTGGTGACAGACTGCTATTTGACACCAACAAATACCTATCGCTTTAACGCAAAGAGCCCCACCAACGATGCCATTGTGAACTAAAATGAAAGTAAAATGATACTATTTAACGAACGCCTTATGGAACATTTAAATATATCACCCTACATTATTTAAAACATTTAAATCAACATGCCCCGCAATAGTACCGTGTATGGCATTGCAGTGACAATCATGTGTTACAGCTTTCTTTTAATTGAGTTTAGATAAACCACATACAAAAATGAAAAAAAAAAACTGTTCAGGTTTTCCCGACACTCCATGATATTCAGGTAGCAGAGAACTCATAATATGTGTTGTCCCCTTTAAGAAGCCCCCACCTTCTCCACTGCGGAGGGAGGGCGGACACATTCCTGGAACAGTTGTTGAGAAAAAAAAATCTACCAGCGGTCTGTTTCAAGTTCCCCCAATAGAAACTGTGCCTGATTTGTGGCCAATGTTGGAGATGTAAAAAAGGAGGAAAAACACTAAGGGGTAGCTATGGAGATAGAAGGTTATCCTTGCTGCTTTCTTTGACAGGTGTTGAGTGGGGTAAAAGTGTTAAAACAGAATCTCCAGCATGTACGCCAAAGGAAAAGGAGCTGTCGTACCATCCGATAGCCAAGCGAGAGAAAAGTAAGTGAAAATTGAGGTTTGTTTCAGAGATCTAGCAAGTTGGACATCGTGGTTTTATCGATACTTCATAAACTATCCGTAAATCTGTTATTTATATGGTACACGCTTGTTCTTTCCGTGTGTAAGCCTTTTCCTTGGGAGGTTTATTTTATTTATTTTTTTTGTTTCTGTTGCTTGACTTTTTAATTCTGCACGAACGTGCTTGCCTTCCATGCACATTGTTATACGGGTATTCTGTGTTTGTCCGGGGATATTTTCAGAATATATCAAGTAGTGCGCCGGTAATTCGCACGGCACCTTTAGTAAAACCGGAGCTTGTTAGAAATGACTCCTTGTATGTGGCGCTTGCATGCATTGAAGAAGTGGCTCGAGACGACCGCGCTCGAGTTTGGGAACAATGCGCGAGCGTGTGGCGCGCGGGGCTGCTGCGCTACCGCCGCCTCGGTGCACGAAGTTACAGACGGCGCGCGGCTGGATCTCTGGCTATGGCTGCTGACGCCGTTTTTGTTCTAAACATCGCCTCGGTTGCAGTAAGGTGCATTTGTTTGACGGTCTGTTTGTATGCCAGCTGGTGTAATTTAAACTGTTTGTACTGTAAACAGTGGGTTTATGGCTTATCAAATAGGAACACTGTTGTCTCCAACTAGCCCATTGTTGCTGTCTTGTTTCAGCCCCTGACTTAAAAAAACTTAAATGGGAAACTTAAACGTGACATATTGGTATCTAACATGTTTGTATCGTAGTTCATATGTGTGGCGAGGATGAGCGTTACTGTAATATACGCACTGAGAGTGAACACTTGTCAAGGTGGAAAAGTGAAGAAACTTGTTCTGTTCATCCCAGTCCAGCCAGTTCTCCGTTTTGTTGGTGGCTGCTATAAATGAGTGGCGACTTGAGCTCCCCATTAGTAGATCCTGTACCAAAACATTGTAGTCTTTATAATTTCGCAACAAAAAGAAAACTTTCATTCACAGTCAAACAGTTGGCGACAGTGTAGCTGAAAGGTTTCATTGTATTTTTCCCTCACCGATGGAGCTTAAGAAACACATGTAACAAAAGGTGGAAACAAACATCTTGAAAACTCTAAAACTTATACAAGAGACAATGATAAAGCCACTTTGTTTTATAGTACACGGCGTTTGAAAGCCATTATAAGGGGACCACATACGGTTCAATCTCGCAGAATGGTTTGGAGAAGGCATTTAATGATTATTTACTGTTTCTAAGTTTTAATATGTTTCACTGTCATTTGAGTGGACATGCATCTCCCCAGGTTTGCACGCAAAAGTCTGCCGTCGTCTCACGAATCTCCTTGTCCATGCATATACTTTTCTAAGCAACTTAAAGAAAATATCGATACAACAATAAACGGTACATTAAGCGAGAATTTCCAACAAGGACACTTTCAGTGTCAAAAAGGTTTCTTTTTCGGGTACAGTTACATTCTTGTTGGGCGGCAGGCGAGCTTTTGATATGTTGATTTTTGTTTTGTGAAAGGGAACAATTGGGAACAATCGGAACCGCTGTCGATATCATTGTTACTTCACAAAGTGTTTTTTTTTATGTATCCAATGTAAAGCGGGACCAGAAGACTAGATAAACACAGCCCTTTTTTAAACGTTCAGGAGTTTGTCTGGTCCATTCAAGGAAGCGACCCGTATAGCTTATTGTCTTGTTCAGATGTTCATCTGTCTGTCTGCTATGCTGTTCGCAGTTATTCAATCGGGTAATTTTCAGACCCAGAGAAACTTGTAGAGCCATCTGGGCAAAAACACAATTGATATCAATTATCAAAGGCAACGGTAAAACGATGATTCACTGATGGTTTATTAATCCTTCAGTCAGATGTGCTATGTAAAGTCCCACCCACTCGTTTATTTTCCGACAGGAATTGTGGAGCATGATGGGAAATGTTTGCCCTGTTCTTGTTTTGTATGTGTGTCTGGTTGAGAGAACTGGGACGAACACTGTTGACTTTTTGACTTGTTTCTTTAGTCCCTGTTTCGCTGACGTTGTTCAGTTACTGAGACTGTTGACGTGAAGGGAGTGGTCATGTACTCATGGTTGTCTTATTTTAGGGTTATGGGACTGTGTTGTGAGGTTTGGGGATAGCACTGGATTTGTGCTTTGGAAACGTGACCTGTTTTCATCCTCTTTAGTTTCACCCTTCCATAGATGTTGGGTTTGTACAGACTGGTGCCTTGGTCGGATTGCCCTGTCAGATTCCCTATTCACATGTCAAAATATAGAACAGAATTGTTATCCCAAGTAAGAAAAGCTCAACTTTTTTTTTCCTTGAGAGATAATGAACATTTTTGCAGCATTTGACAAAGGTTGCCCAAGCTCTGAAAATTATTGTTTTGTGTCTCCAGATTATATGATTTAAGCCAAAGATGGACTACTTGGAACCCAACAAAAGAGACATTATATGACTGGAACATGTTGTGAGGTCCGTGGGACCCAGTGAAAGGCTGAGCTTTAATAATTAATTTGCAATGTGATGCTGTATTCTTCTGGTCTTCAGTAGTTTGTGGTGTTTTCTGGATAGGCTCATCTTCCCGGCTCTCTGGGCCTTTCAGGGGTGCCTCGGTCCTATATACTGGGCACCTCCAGAGGCCTGCATTTCGTCCGTGCGGGATGTCCCGGTGCGTGTCTGCAATGGCTCGCTGCACGGGTTGGAAGTGAGCATGGGCAGGATGTGAAGTTGCAGTTATGGAGATCCCAGGGAAACAGAGGAGCTGTTGTTGTTTTCTAGCCACACCTACGTCGGCGCAGCTGGGGCAATATTACGTCCGTCGGCTTTAGTGTCTGGTCTCACCTGTTTATTAATTTGTTGCTTAGTTGTTTTCTATCAAAACCACTTTGAATTTCACCTGCCCCATGTAATCGTCTAGCTCAGTTGTATATGTTTTATTGAAGTAATTCAGGCAAAGTACTTCCCTGATGGCTGGTACAGCTGGGCCTCTTGTGATGTGGACTTAGAACCTGCGGGTTATGAGCACATGTCCTTACCCACCTGGCCCATTATCCTGTTTTATTTACCACAGCTTAAGGAAAAAAAAATGATTCTTTTAACTACTGAAGAGAACCCTTTCTGTTCTAACAGAGCATAATAACGATCCATGCAGCCAAATTCTGTCCCAGTTGTATTTCCTGGTTCCACCTTTGCACAGGATATTCCAGCTTTCGTTGGCAGCTGATGTTAACCCCTGTTGTGCTGGAGGCAATGTGGGTGGGGTGCCTCGGGGGATTTCCATCAGGACCTGTTCTGAAGATGGGATGGTCACATGACCTCACAGTGATCCGGAGCTCAGCAGTGGGGCTCGTTTTAGTCTGATTCGGTGGGGTGGGGGGGGGGATTGGCTATTGTTTGGGTTTCTCTCGCTCGGTCGTCACAGCGTGGCATGGAGACCCGTATTTCTCGGTTTGTTGTTATGCCTATGGAGTGGGTGGAGCAGCGTGGAGATGGCTGACTCAGCCGTCCCCTCGGGCTGCGCCCTGAGCGGGCCTGGATTTGGGCTTTGTGATGGCTGAGAAGAGACTGGGAATATGGTTGACTGGCAGCAAACTTTAGGCCCACCGGGGGGGGGGGTGGCTTTGTGAGTCTCGGGTGGGTCTCGGGGTTTGAACGTTCTCCTGCTCAAGGTGGGCAGACTTATTTTATTTTTTTTGACTGGGTACCTTTTGGTTTCCGTCTCATCCGACAGACCTCCTATTCCTTAATTCATGTGTGTATCAGGTATCAATGTGATGATGAACTGTAGGTCAAAGGTGGAAAAAAAACAGGCTGTGGAACAAGGGCCTCCCCCCTGAACTTCTGAAATGTGTGACAGGATGGAGGTGGTGCCCTGCTTACTGCTGGGGGCACGGCCCCCTGGATCTTAGGGTGTTACCATGACGTGGGTGGGGGAAAACCCAGTCATTTTTCGTTACAGTGTTTTCATCTGTCATAATATGAAATCGTTTGAACTCCCATGACAGTGAACACCTACGTTATCTGTGTGTTTGCGGTGGGCTTCTCAAGGGTGGGTTGGTAAACCCAGCCTACTAGAAACTTGTGGTGGATGAGATGTACAGGCATGGGGGCTCTCAGTGCTCGTCTGCAGGGGGCTGCTGTATCTTTCCCGCTGCTGGGGGGTCATACGCTTCTTGGAAATAGATCTGGATGTCCTGGCACCAGGCATAAGCATTGTCTGGAAGCTGTGAGTGGTGTTTGTGATGGATTTGCATTTCGTGCCGCTGTCTGACATTCTAGTGTCTGGACTCCACCCTTGGTCTCAGTCAAGGTGACTTCATTTGGTTTTAATTGCTGCCAAAATGAACATGAAATGCTTAGAGGAGAAGCTGGGAGAATCTTCAGCGTAAGGGGCTGAAAACGCATCACGTGCCTGGGCTGATATCTTCATTGCTCTCTTCCTCTTCCTGTCAGTGGCTGTACGCCGGACAGCAGGATCCATAGGCCTTGCACCTACAGATAGCTTTTGGTGAATGACCAGGAGAGGCTCTGATTATTGCTCCGTTGTTTGCGTCGTTTATCATAAATCTTTCTGATGCAACTCTTAGGAGTAAATAAGGCTTTGTCTTAAAAGATTTTTAGCTGTGTACCGGTTTAAGCCTTTCGGATTACTCTTAACCGACAGAACTTCTGTTGTGGATAATTTCCGGTTTATTAATCGTCGTGATGTATTTGCTGTTGATTTTTGAAGATTATGCCGGATATTCTAGTTTCTCTGACGGATGTAGAACGCTTGGATTAATCGGGACCTGACACTTCTCCCCCTGCCCACTTTCAGGCACGTTTAATCACGCCTGTCACCATGCTGCCTTTGATTGTTTATTTGGCAGCTGTTTTTGCTCAAAGTGACCAGTCCATTTAGTATACAGTAGTACTTTTTTAAGGGTGTTAAAAGGTCACTGCAAGCTTGTGGTCTGGAAGTGCAGTAAATGCTGTGCGTCGCTGCTTTGTGCAGGAAATGCAGCCCTCTGTGAAATGGTGGCATGGGCGTACAAACACGATACGTTTGCGTTTGGTGCACTTTTTCTTTCTTCCTCCTCTTCTCAGTATGTGAGGCTGGGCTGGCATGGATGCATTTCCACGATGGATTTTCTTTCTCCAAGCATACGAGCTAATTTGTTCATTTGTTTTACCATTGCGAATTAATGGCTCCATATACCTGGATATGGCTGTCTGCTGCGATTCCCGAATGGGTTTACTCTAAGAGTAACACAGCTATAGAAGCCCAGCAGTTTAAAATGCTCTGTTTATCTGTCGACTCCAGCAGCCCCTGGACCTGTGGTTGGTTCACGCCGGGTTCTCCTCGCCTGGCGGCGCGGAACCGTGTTCCCATGACTGCCTTCGCTGACACGTGATTCCTCTGTGTTTCAGGTTAGCTTTATACGTGTACGAGTACCTTCTGCATGTTGGGGCCCAGAAGTCAGCCCAGACGTTCCTGTCCGAGGTAAGCATGTGCTGCTTTGCTTGTGGTATTATAAAAGATTTAATGATAGTCTTAAATCGGGGAAAACTGTTAATACTCCCAGCCATCCATTAGCCCATCACACCTGGGCCGCAAACCATAACAATGTGCAAAAAAGCAGATAATCCGGGGGGTGGTTTCTTTGGCTAATACTCTGTTTTTAACTGTCTATCGTCATGCACTTTCAGTGCAGTGAGCGTGTTTGTTTCCTGTTCTGTGAAGCGCACGCACGCCGTGCTGAGACTCCCCCACAGTGACTCCTCCGCCCCGGGTTTTAATGCGGGTCACGTCCTGTCTCCACGCCGCTTTTGTGTGCAGCAGCCCCCCCTCTGGACAGCGCTGCTTTGCAGGCCCGTGCCTCCTCTTCCTCCTTCAGCGCCTCCCCCTCTCGCCATTAATCGTGCGGGACGGAGATAATGGGAACGCTGGTTGGGCTGCGGTGGAGGCTGCCGCTCCTCACATGTGCTTGCTTCCTCTCCGTTAACCCTGCAAAGCATGAATGCCATACTTCAGGGCCTTGCCTTAGTATCTGCAAACTGGGCTGCGCATTGTGGACGTTGGAGTTCCATATTGAAGTGAAGCATTTTTATAAAAGCGGGCAAAATTAAAATGTGGTGCCGGCAACTGTTTCGTACGGCCTTATGTAATTTTTTTCCCTGTTCTGTTAAGTGTTTGTAGTTGGTCCGACTTGCATGCCCTCCTTTTCTTAGACAATGGGAGCAGGTGATGCCATCATAGTGCACTAGGCTGTTTTTGAACACTTATCTCTATGGGTCTGGGTAATGAAATTTTGCAACTTCCTCTACAGCTTTGCCTCAATGGCTGCAGATGTACGTCTCGTTTTTCCTGTTTTGAGTATATCCTACACATTTTCTATATATTTTAAAAGTTAGGTCTCCCCCTTCTGAACTAACTAAAGCTGGGAATGTGAAGGTTTTGAACATATGTCGATGTGCTCTAGACGTTCGTTAAACAGTATTTGAACTTGTGTAAGTTGTAAAATAAAGACTGTTTCTACACGAATGTCAGTCATATCTCTTCAAAAGAAAATGGCCTAAGGGGAATAAAAACAGTATTAGCAGTTACGTGTAATCTAAGGAATATGGCCTGTTGTAGTCCTTCGCTTTGTGTAGAAAGCATGTTCACCATCTCTTCAGTCAAATCCAGATATGATTGAATGAACCCAGCATCTTTCTTAGAACCCTGAAGCTTTTTTTCTGCCGGGGTTCCGTTTCCTTAGGGTGCGGGAATTATATATATATATATGTGTGTGTGTGTGTGTGTGTGTGTGTATGTGTTTGTCTGTCTGTCTGTCTCATAATATATATTATTATGTATGCACATGTTTAACCTGTAGGTTAATTATATATGCAGGTTATAATTTAAAATATGTCTGCTCTGTCAAGATAGCCCAGAATTCAAAATTTTAAACCATACGTTTGGTTAATTTAGATTATGACAATGCAGTAAATTTCCGAAAATCATTGGGCATTGAGCAGCTCCGAAGCGAAAGCTGGAATCGGATCCACATCATTTTGGATGCCTATGTAAATACTGCTGATTCTGTTACGTGAATTGGAAAAATGGTCAGGCTGCTAATTTTATGTGAACATGTGGGGGGGGGGGAACATGGCTGCCATTACCTAATGAAGTTTAGCAGACCAGCTAGTACACCTAGTGTCCAGTCAAGACAAATGGACGGCAGTTTATTTTGAGGGCTCAGAAAGCACCTCAAAGTGGCATTCCAGATTCTGACCGGAAATGTTTCTTTGAAATTCTTGTGCACCCAACAGGTTACATTTCACTTTTTTAGTTATACGGATAGTAGTATAAATATGTATTGAGATGTTGCACATACCTCACACTCTTGGTAGTATAGCAGTGCAGAGGATGGTCATAGATGTGTCAGTGCAGCCTAACATGAAGTTTGTTGGCAGCTCTTCCGGTTCTGCTGACGGTTTCTGTTTAATGGCATCTACAAGCTTCTTGTCTTGAGTGCAGTTTCATTTAATATCTCCAGGTGTCACTAAGACCATGTAATGTGCAGCAGTGGTGTGCAGTGGTGTGCAGTGATGTGCTCTTTCGACTGTGGTGACGTTCTCCTTTTGTCGGTGTCAGTTAATACTGCTTAATTTGTGCTTCACTGCAATACAGGTTTAACTGGCTGTTTTTACAGTCTCTGCCCTGGTTATTAATTAGTAATGGCACAAGCGGCTGCTATCGAGTGAGTTGTGTGAAATACACACCCTTATATATGCTGCGCGTGGAAAACCTGCTGGAGAGGCAGGAAATATGGAAGGTGTCTCCACCAGACAGTGCGCTTGTGACTTGTTTTTTTTCCTCTTTTGCTTAAATCAAAAATTTATGGTGGTCAGCAGCATGCAGTGACGGTGCTTGCAGTGATTTTAAAGAGGAAATCTGTAAACATTCATTGGATTATGGTGGCCATCTGAGGTGTCGGTTTTACACGATATTGGTTACAGACATTCGTGGATCAAGTGAACAGTAATGTGATTGGAGAGTCTGTTGTATCGTTGTGGTTTTAATAACTGCAATCAGAACTCGGTCCCCCTTATTGCTGTGTGTTTTATTATTTTT